TAGCACATTGCATCCCCCTGTGAGCGCTGAGAGCATCAGAGCTGAGTCGGTACTTCAGTGGCATGCTTTGTTTCTTCTGCTATGGTGAGCAAGCAATTAATCACCTTCATTTCCTCCATCCTTAGCTGAATCAAAGCTGCCTCGTCCTGTTATTTAGGCAGAGAATGCATAATCTAGTGTTTCCCCCTGAAGCTCTACTTCCCAGAAACCTGCACCCCTATTTTTACCTGCTAAAGTATCCCAGACCTCTGCTTTCTGGTTCTGAAAGTAGGGGGGTGTAGATAGACTTTAAATAGCTCCATTTATTTGATAATAATAATTTACAATTTGAGAGGGAGTTTGGTCATTCCTGGTGACTAATTTTACAGTGTCATCTAATGTTCGAGTTCCTTGTCACATTTTTGTTATTACATCCAAATGCCTACTTACAATAACAGTGCAACTATGTATGTTAAACACCCACTCTAGAATTTTAAATCTTAGCTCTTTCTGAATGTGTTTTGGTGAATTTCAATGTGGGAGGTGATATAATTTAAAACTTTATATTTTCTACTCTAGTGAAAGGCATAATTTCTCTGACACATTTTTTTTTCTATCTAGAATAAGGAATTACACTAGAATAGTGTTTTAAAATAAGATTTGTCGACATAATGACATTTTTTTCTTCTCTTCACTTCTACCCAAACTAAAATAGTTCAGGAATATTTATTTACTTAGCATAACTGCTAAGAAATTATAGTCATTACATCCACCACCACTTTCCTTATAAGCCACATCATTTCATCGATGTAGAAGACCTCTTGTGTTGCTGTCATTGTACTTTACCCATCAGCAAAGATTTTGAAGCTGAGCAAATTACAAAGCCCACCAGACGCAGCCTCTGCCTCCCAGGATTTCTCTTTCAGAGGAGGCTTTCTGCATCGTTGCAGAGTGGACGGTTGCATGACCTCTTTGCTAAAGAATCTACAATATTCAATTGAACTTGCAGAAAGGGTGAAACAAATAAAAAGAAGCCTTTGTCCCATGGCATTATTACAAATTTGGGCTGGAGAGATAGCTCAGCAGTTAAGAGCATGGGCTGCTCTTCCAAAGGACCTGGGTTCAATTCCCAGCACCCACGTGGCAGTTCACAAATTGTTTCTAACTTAACTCCAGTTCTAGGGCATCTGAGATCTTCACATAGACATTCATGCAGGCACGATACCAAATACCAATGCACATAAAAAGTAAAATGAAAAAAAAGTCAACAAGTTATGTTATATCTAACCATGGGCATATTAACATAGAGGCAAGTATTCTACCTTGTTTTACATATTCAATGTCCAAAAACTTAATTCATTAGTCATTATACATTCAAAGTAGTCAAACTTAACTGGGAAAGAAATACTATTTAAAATATTTAACATTTGGATCTGAAGATGTGGTTCAGTGGTCAAGGGCACTTACTGCTCTTGCAAAGGACAGTTCAGTTCCTAGTACCCACAGGCCACTCAGTCACTTGGACTTGTAGCTCCAAGGGATCTGACGTCCTCTTCTGGCCTTCGCTGGCACCTGCACATGTGTTCATGAACATGCAACACACACAGAAACACATAAATATGTCTTTAAAATATATATTTCACATTGAATTCTCTTAATATTAAAGTGGTGTGATATCCTGTTTACTAAAATAAATAAGAAATGGAACAACACAGATTTCTCTTTTTGAGCTCTTCTTATTTCTCTACAGAGAAATCCAGCAGACACTGATTCTGGATCAGACACTGTGTATGGCGTTTACAAAGATGTGAGCTCAGCTCAGCTTGTTGCCTTCATGGATGGCACAGCAGTCATACTCCATCGGATGATTACTCAACAGGACGCTTTGATTCATTAGTTGGTTGGTTGGCTGGTTGGCTGGTTGGTTGGTTGGTTGGTTGGTTGGTTGGTTGGGAAATCTGCCAATGTTGAAGTGCTGGCATTCCATTGAAAAGTGCTTAGGACATTGTGGTGCTCGTGTGTCAGGTGTTTTGCCTACACAGGCTCCTCTGTTGGATGATTGTTTCCTTCAAGTTGGGCAAGATTATTACTGTCTTAAATCAGAGTATCTGTGATGAGCCATACGAGACCCTGCAGCTCCCCAGAGCTAGGTAGGACCTATGAATATTCCAAAGAGACAGGAGGCTCTTTGCTGGCTAGCCAATCTTTATGAAGAGAAGACCCTGTCTTAAAATATTAGGTGGAGAACAATTGAAGAAAACCCAGCACCAACCTCTGACCTCTACATGAATGCACACAGATGTGCACATGTACCTGCACACGCACACGCACACGCACACACATGTGCACAGCCGAGCACACAATTACAGCTGGACCAGTGATGGCTCTACAGGTAAAAGTGCTTGCTGCCAAGTCTGATGACCTGTGGTGATCCCTGTGGTGGTTTGAATAGGAATGATCCCCACAGACTCATGTGTTTAAATGCTTGGACCATAGGGAGTGGTGCTATTAGGAGGTCTAGCCTCATTGGGGGAAGTGTGTCACTGTGGAGATGGGCTTTGATCTCTCATCTATGCTCAAGCTATGCCCAGTGTGACATGCAATCACATTCTACTGCCTGTAGATCAAGATGTGGAACTCTCGGCTCCTCTAGCACCATGTCTGCTGCACACTACCTGTTTCCCATCATAATGATAATGGACTAAACTTCTGAAGCTGTAACTCAGACCCAGTTTTCTTTATATAAGTCGCTGTGGTCATGGTGTCTCTTCACAGCAATAAAGCCCTAATTAAGACAATCCCCCAAATCCATATGGTAGATGGAAAGAACTGACCCCTCCCCCAATTTGTTCATGTAGTGGTACTCATGTGCACACATACACACACTAAGCTAGTGTATGAAAAATAATGGAGAAAGAGGAATATCTAATCCCTAAAAGTTAGTGTGAATATCTCTGGAGAAGGAGGAGACTCAGAGAAGCCCCTGAAGCCATGCTGAGTTGCTGAGGAACTGGAAGGATTAGAAAAAGAAGGTTGTCTGGATACAGCTAGAAAGGGAGGGTGTGAGGCTGGCAGAGTAAGTGGAAGTGATTGTGGGGAGACCCGTTTTTGATGTCCAAGATCATTGTAAGATCACACAGCTGCTCCAGAGTCTTCTGCTGGATTTGAATGACACCTAATCTTCAGTGTGACAAAAGCTGCTGGTGGGAAAGCAGAGAGCAAGAAGGAACTTTTGTCATAAGTCAACAAAAGGTAGAGTGGTTTGGGCTTGGAGCTACGAAAGGAAGTGGTGGCTTTTGAGAAAAGGAATGGACTGATCTTTAACAAAAGATAGGCACAAAGGAAGTTCCAGGCTTTGTCATTACCTGGCCCATGGCCCATTTATCAAGATGCAGCACTCCAGGGAGAAAGGGGCTAAGGGTGAGCAGAAGTTTCCATGGCAGATGGATGATCAGTGTGTCCAATATGAAATAGGCAGAAGACTAGGGGATCTGGTTCTCAGATAGGCACTTGAAACCAGCTGGAAATGCTGGATATACCTCATGTGAGCAAGAAGAGGGCTAGAATAGAACCTCTGTGTTCCCTGACCCACTACCCTCTCCCAGCTCATCTGCAGGGGCATGGCGATGACCAGAACTTTTGCACAATCCAGTAGACACTCACAATAGGTTTCCAGACTATTACATTCTATTTATATGAATGCAGTATGGGACCCAGACATTCCCGATCCTCTTTAATTTCCTCCAGTACATCTATAATTCCCAACTGGTACTCAAGAACCCCTAAACTTGACAGTAATGATACATTAGCATACCACATCTACTAGTTAAGCTTGAGATGTTGCTCTCTTATGATACAGTAAGGTTGTACCTGACTGATATTATAGTGGCTTGAAAAAGAATGCTTCCCCATGGGCTCATGTATTTGCATGCTTGATCTCCAATTGAAGAACTTTGGGGGAAGGATTAAGAGGTGTGGTCTTGCTGGAGAAAGTGTGTCAATGGCAGTGGGTGTTGAGGTTTCAAAAGCTCAGGCCAGTCTGTCTGTCTCTCTCTCTCTCTCTCTCTCTCTCTCTCTCTCTCTCTCTCTCTCTCTTTCTCTCTCATTCAGGATGTAGCTTTCAGCTATTTCTTCAGCACCATGCCTGTCATGTGTGCCAGCCTGTTCCTCAATATGAAGATAATGTAGTAACCCTCTAAAACTGTAAGCAAGCCTCCATTAAATGTTTATTTTTCTAAGAATTGCTATGGTTATGATGCCTCGTCACAAGTAAAAACTCTTAAGATAGAAAGTTACACCATGCCCCAGGGTAGGATATAGTGAATGATCACTTAACCTATGTGCATATATTTACTTTATATTTTTTTGAAAACAAATACTTTACTTTTCTCTACCTTCAATTTTTTGCCTTATAACTAACTGGCTAACTGGCTTGATTAGTAACCAGGATGGTTTTCTTACCCTTCTATATGTGTAATAAACTTTAATGATATTCTTTTCCAGGATCCCACATTATAGCCAGGCTGTGGTAGCCACATGGCTCAGAGGAGGGAGGAAAACTGGAAGAAATCACAAAGGAGGCCACCTTGACCAGAGAAACATGAACCCTGGCCTCTGACATTGCAAGATTCACACTTCCTAAGTCCAGTTTTTTAATCCTCTCTCCTTCTCTCCTGTTTGTTGAGTAACTAACCAAGACACTGTTGGTCTGTAGAGCCTGCAGGGATGAGAGTAAATGAATACATTTATTGTTTAGTCTTTCACTGACTGGCTAGACTAGCTGGCCAGGGATGCTCTGAAATCTGATGACTATCTGCCCCCAGGGCTGGGGATATAAATGCTTGCCAATACACATAGCTATGTTGTAGGTGTTGGGAGTCTGAATCCAGGTCTTCGTCCTTCTGCAGGCAAGCAAGCTGCCGCTTGTCATGTTCTCAGGCACCCATCTTTAACGAGAGACACAGATTTGGAAAGTGACATTACAACAGCTATCGGATGGAAGAAAGATGAAGGAAAACACATTATGGAATGTTTTTATTTGGAACCATAAGAGAAGCATTTGAATTCTCTTCTATTAACGTGATTTAAGTAATTAACTTATAAGACTTGGTTTATTTATATACACTTGACTGTAAAAAAAATTAACTTTCTGTAATGTTTACACCATCAAGCCCAATCAAGCCAAACAAGATCGTTAACTAAAATGATTAATGGATGCAGATTTAGCTGAGCTTTAAATCGAGAATGTCTTGCTGATGTCAGGGCTGATTAGTTCTCCATCTAACACTGGTGTTATTAAAAGCTCTGAGCAATTCAGATAAACTCATTGAGCAAAATTTCAATGGGGTGAGAAATTCCATCAGGGTAAATTTTACTGGTAGAATGGTAGGTATATACATGTTTGCAGGGAGGGTTCTTTACTCATGGAGTGGAAGAAAGGGAAGCAGAGGGGCAGAGCAGGTGGCATCGATCACAGCAAAGCTGAAGAAGTTTGTAATTAAAGAAAAAAATCATCTTTGCACAAGGATTCCAAATGGTGTGAGGGTATGGATATTGATCATTTAGCTTCAGAATGTTCAAGAATCTGAGAAAAAAATAAATGAAGGAAAGGCAAGAAGTTAATACAGAGACATACCCTAGTAACTCTTCTAAAAGTGAATCCACAGGGAAACCACTGTAGCCGGGGGTGGAAGCCACCACTTTCGCTATTAAGGGAACAGAGGTGAAAGTGACTCAGGTCCTGAGACCCTGGTCCCATGATTGGGAACCACAGTTCTTCAGGGCCTGGAAAGTCAACTGGAGGGTTGAGCCAATGGAATGGAAAGTGAGACTCTAACTGACTAAAGAGACATTCCACCTGCACTAGAAGGTTATCCCAGCCTGTTGCAGTGGATTTGGGGACTAACAGTCCAGGTAGCTGTGGCTTGTGAAAGATAAGTGACCGAGGGATTGTTAAAACATCTCCAACGTCTGTGACTTCCAAACTTTTCATTTTCCACATTTCCTGAATTTTCCCATCTCTCGATTTGCCCAGGGTCTGAGGAGGGAGACCTGCCAGTGGGTCAGAACACACTGGAAGGCACCTGTTGTCCTGAATGCTGCTTTGACAACTCCAGGAAAAAGGCAGCGAATAATTTCGACCCCTGTATGTAGTTCCACCTAACAAAAAGTAAAAACAGAAACACATTTCCATTCACATGAAGAAGGAAAAGCACCCAACCATGTCCACAGAAAAACTGTACGTGTTATTAATACAATCTATCTAAAGCACTTAGCATGCTTCTGAGATACCTGGGACCAAAGTCATTTCCAAAAGGAAAATGACATTAGTATTAGTATTAGTATTAGTATTAGTATTAGTATTAGTATTAG